GTCCGAATACAAGTTGGCAGCACATTAACATAAACGTTATCTCAGCTAGCGACAGATATACGGAAAATTCCATGACCTTGCATATTTAATAGAAGAATATCTCTCAAGAACTCCCACAGCTACTACCAAATGCCCCACCGCCAATCTCTCCCATGGAACTACCTCAAAACCCTTTCTTAGGAAACCATATCCCCAAGATTATCCACCACTCTTTGGATTTCCAACGATAGGACTGATAAATCAACCGATAACTTTTCTAATAAAAAACCTACTTTGTTGGAGTCAAAACAACCTAGAGCCCATCAAACCTAGAATACCTCTTTGCCACGAGGCAGTTAACAGTGTTGGTAAACGAATCCACTTAATCCTCCCCGTATTTTCAAGTTCTATATAAGCACATTCACCTCCTTCTACTCAAATTGCATCTGCATACAACCATCGTCTTTCTTAAAACCACCCGTTTTGTTTTCATCTTTGGAACATGGTTCAACTCAGACATAAGTGACCAGCATCTTAATGCTATATTGGTTCTTACCAGTTGTGAAAAGACTAGCGGAGTGAACGCGGAGGCAGATGCGACAAACAGGCTTACTAGCCACTCGCTTTTTGTTTGCAATATATATATATATATATATACATATACATATGGTTGGCGGCATCCGGTTTCGGATTTGCCTGTCACTGTGGCAAGCCGCAGGACGCCTGCGCCTACAGAGGGACCATGGATGGCTTGCGCTGCACCACCCACAGCTCCAACCACACTCCCCATATCCAATGTAAACCCGAAGGAATAAGACCGGGAGACATGCAAATGTGAGCCACGTTTCATCAAAGGAGCAGGCCCACACTCTTTCACAGGCAAACACAAGCGCACTGTATTTGGGGAATCAAGAGAACACAAGGCGGTGGCTGGACCGTAGTCCGCTCTACACTGAGTGCATGGAACCACTCTTGGAGCCCAGCATGGCCACAAGGACCGTGAACCCCGTCCCATCCAGCAACGACCAACTGTCCCCTGGAGCTAGTATGGACGAGGTAGTGGGTAATAGACAGGTAGGCACCTTGTCAACATGCACATCAAGCGCAGCCACATCGGGGATATCAAGCAACAGTCAATCACTTGAAACGACAAAATGAAATAAAATAAATCCAAGAATGCATACAGATACGGTGCCGTAACTCTTCACTAAATTAGCATATATGCATATATTTATATATATACATATATATATATATATTCATCACAGTCCATCAACAGGCTCTTAATGACCTATAAGATTCATAATGGTTGATAAACCCACCTAGCGATATTCTACTGGGTTGTAGTTATAGCTCCCTTGAGCTACCAGCCACCAAAATGAACAACTAATTGAAGCGATTACCATTGCTTCTAAGACTTCCTGCAAACTTAGGTCTACATGTGGATTTCAACGTACTATATAGTGTCCGGATGACCCTAACACTAACAATGTCCCGGGGGCTCGTGAGAATATTCCAAAGTATTTGGATCAGTACTTGTATTCAACATGTCAAGGCACTCGCATGAAGAGCCAACAGATTAGATCTACTATCCACCATGGGCGTCTCGTCAGTGTTAGTAAATATTGACAATGCAGTTAGATTACAATATTATGCACTACAGTGTGAATGTGAAAATAGCAAGCACAAAGCACTGCCTGATAAGCCTGTTCGTCGCGTCCACCTCATGCATTGGGCAACCTACGATAATTTTTACAGTACCGTGAATTAGGAGCGATACTTCTTAACCCATGATCCAAAGTTAGCCAAAAATGAATTTATTTATTTGTTTTGCCTAGAGGTCACGAGCTTGTCTCGTTCCCTTCCGGCGCGGGTTCGAATCCGCGTAGGAATGGGCATCCTCGCGGTCTATTCAGCCTGCATGCGAGTACTGGTAGTGGCAAGGCAGCGAAGCGTCGTTACGACGTACAGCTGACCCATTATTATGTATTATTATTTTACTATATGTACTGCCCATCTAGCACCCACGTTGTGGATAAACACCTATACCAGAGGTAGTCACAAGTAGTCAAGGATTAAAACCAGTACTAAATAAAAGCAACTTACGTCACAATACAGCATAATTAACAACTCCGTCACTTTAATGCAAATACATGAAACTCACTAAAGCTGGACCATCAATCGCAGCAAGCAAAAATTGAGAAGGAAAACAGAGCGCCAAATAATCCACATAAGACGCAAACACTCGCGAAGCTACTCAAAAAGAGGAATGTAAAACCTTATTCTGAATTTCAAAACCTGACTCTAGGAGATAGCACAATAACGGATACTGTTAGTCTAATATGTAATACATTCGGCTGGTATTACGCAAACTCCTTCAATGATAATACTAGTATATCCTTTCGTTTTCGAAAACGGTAGACAAATGAATACCTTTCGGATATTCCCATAAGTCTAAGTGATTTTCGGTGTGGTATACTTTCCATAAAACACTCGTTTCTGAGAGACCGGATGGTATATCCCCAGCTGTTATCTAGTTTGTAGGTAAAAAGTACCTTTCTTGATGCTTAACATAGTTACACTATCTATATATTGCGGTTGCTTCCCTCCACAACCAAAACACAAATGCTGCCCACGAACTGCAATGCATCATTATTGCCCTATTAATTATACTGCAGCCGCTTCTAAGGCTCTGGAGCAAATCGTCAAGAATGGTCTCGTTTAAGTCCTTACAAGGCTAGACATGATAAACTTAAAGCAATAGGACATTTTTGAGATGCGATCCAGCGTAACATGTCAAGCACATTTCTTTGAACATGTAACATCCATTGTTGACAGTGCCATGTCGGTTAGCGCCATCCTGATATATTTGTAAAATGCCTTCGATCGTGTGCCACACAAGCCATTGTCGTCCATACAGCATTCTTACGGAATCTGCAGCCCATTGCTTAGCTGGTTCTAATCCTACTTGGAAGAAAGGATCCAATGATGTTGTGGGTCATCTTGAATTACACGTTGTGTGGATGGATTGCGACACACAATCTCCATGTTGACCGTGATTCCCATTGAAGTGAACCTTGGTATTTCGATCACGAGGACGGTGGCTTATGCGTATCGAAATTGGGTGTTGCCAGCCCGAAAACACTGAACTACTATGGCGCGTTTCGATCTTATTACATCTTATCAGATAGAGTTAGCAGGCAACGAACCCGGGACCATTGGAATGTTAGTTACAAGCGCTACCCTAACACCACAATGGTCAATGGTTCGATGTTTGATGATGCAGTAACGTAGTAACGCGTCATAGCTGTGCAGTGTTTTCGTTCGAGCAACACCCATTTTCTATTGGGATGCAAGGAGTTACAACTGGTTAAAACCTCCTCTCTTCAAAGGGAATCACAAGTGGTGTGGTCTAAAGCAGTGTGCTTGGACAACGTAGCTTCTCAATTTCTACAAACACCGTTTGTGACTCGATAACACACCTATAACCATAACAGTTTGATGATGCTATTGGACTCGTTTATTCATTCCCAACCAATGGTCTCGAATTGGGCCTTAGGGATTGATATGAGAATTCAGCTGCACATAATTTGTGCAGTAAGCCTTGGTTCATGACATTTGCTGCTGTTAATTCGCCGTTGCTAGGGTATGTATGCTGCATACCTGGAGGCTTTATCACCTCCGCTGGTACAAACCTGCCAAGCTCCATTTCAATAAGGGACTTTTGGGATAAAATAGTCCGCCTCCCTCAGCTTTTCCGAGCATTTCTCGTACCAGGTAGCAACGGCAAGGCAAACAAAAGTCTACATCACTACGTCATTTGTCCTTACCAGAAAAGTACAAGAAATGTTTGAGCACAGTGTAAACCCTATGCTAGAGTATTTCACAACCATCCACAGTTACCTGAGTAGAACAGTTCGGAGAGCTCCAGCTAATATTCAACGGTCATTCACGAAAACTCTCATTGGACTATTTACCGCTATGAACTATAAAGACGGTTGTTGTCGCTATCAATTAGACCCTCTGTGGTTACGCCGGCTGAGAAACACGCTGATTCCATTTTATGATCTTATATGTTGCTGAGTACAGACCCCCGAAATAGCCCTCATCTACCAAACTTCTTCGGCATATCCCATAAGAAATATAGGTTACATAGTGCCCACACAAAAGGAGATACTGATAATGCATTCCAAATTTATGCATGATAAGGTATGCCTATTTATGGAACAAACTGCCATTAAAAGTACTAGTAAGCAAGAATGTAGCCAAATTTGAAATGAATTTGGTTGGTTTGCTTACTATGCCGAATATAATGAATACGTTAGGTTTTAAAGTGCCTACACATGTGATAACTGCTTCTAGCCCAAACAATATTGGATAGATGATGCAAGTTCATCCGTTCGCAGCACCACATGGGTTCTACTCGAAAGTGCCTATCTTCGAGGTCCCCTTTCAGGTGGGTAAGGAATACCCATATATCGCTTAGTTCTAACCTCTTATAGGTTTTAACTATTCTGTCAACTATGCGGATCTGGCATTTCATACCTTTTAGTCGTTTGAGACGCGATGCCAACCCATTAATAAATTGAAGCCGTTTTTTCTAACTTCTCTTAAGGCTTATCACAGCAACCAATATGATGGTAAACTGTGTAGTGTTCCCTTCACATTTCATTACATAACCTTCCGGTCAGCTGATAATATTGCCAGCTGTATCGACTATTCTTTCAAACGCTTCATACATCGATCAACTTTCTTTTTGAATAGCCGGCTGACTCTAGACTACCTCGTGTATAACATCTGGTAGCTATAAATATACATTTCTGGGAATACAGTATTCAATCCCTTTTGGTATCCGAGAATGACAGGTTATTAAACCAGGAACTCCGCAACCAAAAGGCGTTACCAAAAACCAACAAGTGGGAACCCCGACAAGTGGTTGACCCGACGTGAGTTCGGATATTACGACTCAGCAAACATCATGCGGTGAGTCATATCCAATTTCGTCATAATTCCACCATTTCATGTATGCTAATATGACTCACCAGCAACCAGGGGAAATTAACACCGTATCTACTAGTTGTTTACCAACATTTTGGATACAGTATCCCCAGTTATGGTTTATGCAGGCCGAGTCATTTTTTGAAATCAATCGCATACATAAGGATGCCTTAAAGGTTCATCACGTTATTTCCCGACTCCCAGCTGAAATGTTGCTTCTGACGCAGGATATCATAAAAACGAGCAGTACGTACCAACAGTTAAGCGAATTGTTAATCCGTGAGCTTAGCCTTAGTGAGCGTAAAAGAGTGCAACGTCTATTTAATGAAGAGCAGTTAGGCGATCGCAATCCTACTCAACTATTACGGGTCATGCAAGCTTTGGTAGGTGAAAACCCTCCAGATAATTCCATTTTTAAGCAGCTATTTATGCAACGCCTCCCTGTACATTTACAACAGATTCTGGCCAATGCCCATCAGGATACCGAACTAAGAGATTTAGCCCTTATGGCTGACAAAATAATGGATACAAACGCCAACAATCTCAAACTTATCACCTCGTACACCTGGCGAGGAACTCGTTAAAGCCGTACGCTACTTGCAACAACAACTGGCTTCCATTACCATCACTAGACGAAGGAGCAACTCTCGATCTAATCAACGGCGCACTCGGAGTGTTAGTAGCTTCCGTTGCATTTGTTGGTATCACCGTAGGTTCCGCAACAAGGGGAAAAAGTGCGTGAAACCGTGTCGGTTTTCCGATTCGGGAAATGACCACGTCAGTACGTAATGGCGACGACGCAAGCTGGCATATGCGAGCCAGGTCGCCTATTTTACTTGCGGGATGTAATATCTGGCATGCGATTTCTCGTAGACACGGGTGCCCACATCAGTGTAGTTCCCCCGCGTCCAGGGGACCTGAAACTTTGCTCGATATACAGCCTTCAAGCAGTTAACGGCACACAAATCCGATCCTGTGGACAAGGTTCTATCACTCTAAATCTCGGTCTCCGTAGATCCTTTCCTTGGATTTTCATCATAGCTAAAGTGACTACTGCAATATTAGGCCTTGACTTCTTTCAGCACTATGGTATTATCGTAGATCCTAAGCGCTGTCAGATCATAGATGGCCTAACGCAACTATCACAGGCTGGTTTTAAGAGCTCCATAATGTCTATGAGTCCGCAGCTTGTCCCACCTCAAGTTTCTACGATGTATTTGGTTCTATTGCGCGAATTTGTCAGCATAACGAAGCCCGGAAATCATCCTGGTGATATCAAACATGAGATCGTTCATAGGATAATGACAGCAAGCAGTCCAGTATTTCATCATCCTCGGCGATTAGCGCCAGATAAACTTTCCGTAGCGAAGGCCGAGTTCGATCATATGTTACAACTGGGCATAATACGTCCATTCAGCAGTATGTGGGCATCGCCCCTACATATGGTCCCGAAGAATAAACCTGGAGACTGGAGACCATGTGGGGATTATAGGGGACTGAACGCCATCACCATCGCAGACAGATACCCCATTCCGCATCTCCAGGATTTCTCAACCTCCCTGTACGGAAAGAAAGTGTTCAGCAAGAAAGATTTAGTACGGGCATACAGCAAAATAACCGTTCATCCTCAGGATGTACCTAAGACTGCCGTCACTACTCCCTTTGGCTTATTTGAGTTCTTGCGAATGCCATTTGGTCTTCGTAATACAGCTCAGACGTTTCAACGTTTTATGGATCCGATCATTCGCGAGCTGGACTTCGTTTTCGTCTATATCGACGATGTCTTAGTTGCAAGTCGAAATCATGACGAACATTTGCGTATCTGCGACAATTTTTCGAGCGATTTGCGCATTATGGGGTAGTTATCAACGCCGCCAAGAGTCAGGTATGAGTTGATCCGATAGACTTCCTTGGTCACCGTGTTTCCTCCGCTGGAATTGTACCCCTACCGGATAGAGTGACAGCCATCACTGAGTATCCCATACCCGATTCCATCCAAAAGTTACGCCGGTTCGTTGGCATGGTTAACTTCTACCGAAGATTCATCCCGCACTGTTCAGAGTTAGCCCAGCCACTTACCGAACTACTCAACTTAGATGCTAAAACACTCAGCTTTACGAAGTCAACTAAAGATGCATTCAGCAAGCTAAAACACCAGCTAGAAACTGCCACTCTCATTTTGCATCTGGATCCTAAGGCCCCGTTACAGTTAACGGTGGATGCCTCAGATGCAGCTGAGGTGGTGTGCTTCAACAAAGACAGAGAGGTGAATTGTATCCAGTTGCCTTTTTCTCTAAGAAATTGCAGCCTGCCGAACGACGTTATAGCACGTTCAGCAGAGAAGGCTTAGCTATTTACCTCAATCTACGTCATTTCCGACATTATTTGGAAGGATGTACGTGCACGATATTCACCGAACGTAAGCCGTTAACTCATGTACTGCGTTCTGCTTCAAATCGGCTTTCCCCACGAGAAAATAGACAATTAGATTACATTTCCCAATTTACTTCTGACATACGGCATTTGTCCGGCGCGAATAACGCCGTATCAGGTGTCTTATCAAGGGCGGAACTCAACGCTCTATTCGAACATTCCTCCATTGACTTCAAAGAATTACCCACAGCGCAGCATCAGGATAATCAGTTTCTTCTACAACTGCAAGTAATCAATCTTCAAGTGAAAGTCATTCCGCTGTCTGGTAGTTCGGATATTCTGATGTGTGATCTTTCGACAAGAAAACCACAACTGTGTACCACCCATCGTCGAACGGGTGAGTGGAACTTTTCCAACGTCACCTCAAAACAGTTTTGATGGCATGTTCCGACACTACCCGTCGGACAGAAACCTTACCGCTGGTTTTATTAGGTCTTCGAACAACACCTAAAGCTGATTTAGGTTGCTCCACCGCGGAGCTGGTATATGGTACCCCGTTAAAGCTCCCGGCTGATCTCGTTAAACCGACCAACGCTATAGATCTCTCAAACTTTGTCCATCGGCTACGTTCATCTATGCGTGAACTGCACTTTATCCCCACACGCGCACACACCAATAAGGCTTACAACATACCGAAAGATCTCGAAACTTGTTCACAGGTGTGGGTACAAAATGATGCAGTCCGCAAGCCATTACAACCACCGTACGAAGGACCATTCGAGGTGATCGCTAGAACCGAAAAGCGTCATATGATCAACAAGAAGGCAAGGTCGATGCGGTTTCCGTAGATCGTCTTAAACCAGCGTACATCGAAAAACATTGTAAACAACAATCTACTGATTCTTACTCGACACCGTGTACGCAGCAGACACCACAGCTCGTTGAAGATGTCCCGCAGCTTGTAACATCTAAAGCTAAGCCACAAGGAGATAATAATACGCGGCAGAAATGGTCAGGAAGGCGAGTCCATTTTTCAGACCGCTTAGTGTATCACGCATCTTTACAATATCATCTTGTTCGGCTGATCACTTGCTAGTACCGCTTGCTGCCAGTATCCTCCTGTTTGTTTTTCTCCATATTCCGCCAGAATGCAACTGAATATCTCGAACGAGGAAGAAGCAGATTATTCAGTCTAGACAAATCTAACATCCGTGCATTTACCATCCTGCACTGCTCCCAAATTTTTCATTGTACCTTACACACAGAATATTAGCCTGCATGCCTCCCATACCTCAGCCTCGGGTATTTCATGCGACACTGTACCAGGTAGAGGTCAGATTTTACCGGCTATTCCCACTGGGTTTTTTACTCCTGGTCGCTTGAACATCGTGCGAGTAGCGCACTGGTGGGGAGGTATGTAGTGTTTCCTTCACATTTCATTACATAACCTTCCGGTCAGCTGATAATATTGCCAGCTGTATCGACTATTCTTTCAAACGCTTCATACATCGATCAACTTCCTTTTTGAATAGCCGGCTGACTCTAGACTACCTCGTGTATAACATCTGGTAGCTCCAAATATACATTTATGGGAATACAGTATTCAATCCCTTTTGGCATCTGAGAATGACGGGTTATTAAACCAGGAACTTCGCAACCAAAAGGCGTTACCAAAAGCCAGCAAGTGGAAACCCCGACAACTGCACTACCATGCAATAGGTTCTGTTCAATTATCTTCTTTTTATTTCTATCACTTTTTTCTTTAGCCCATTGCACAAGTTTATTCTCTTCGGTTTATTCTTCACCGTTGGTCACAAAAGGCGAATAGCCAAACAGCCCCGGATACATATAAAAGGTTACTGAGCGAAAGAAATGACGCTATACTCTGCAGTGTTGCATTCACACCTGGTGTCCTATGCCGTCAATTCTGGTAAATTGGGTCATCATGTGCACACCCACGGCAAACAATGAGTGTTGCACGGGCGGACTGGTTGAGTGGCTGGCTTACAAAATAAAGAGGCCCAAGCGATAACCGAAATCGATGATGGTAACCTACTTCTAAGCCGCACTGACACCTGACCAGATGGGATGTGGAGGCACGGATGTAATCTCTCGAGGGACTACCCGGCATGGAAATAGGTCGCAAGGAGACAGTCCCAGGGATGATCGTATTACTTCGCTTGATCTTTCTTGAAAACTTCCCACTTTACCTTGGATCTGTTGGACTCTTCTTTCTGGATACTTTTACTATACATTCTTGTGGTCTCCTCGACATCAACTATTAAGTTTTGCCTTAGATTACGTTGCAATTTTATTGCTGTGGATTTTCTTTTCTTCCTATACCTATGGTAACATTCGAGTGACTGTCTGTATGCTCTGCTAATCACCATGGGTTCCATAGTTTGTACATAACTGTAATTTTTCTATCTTGCTTGTTTGAGCATGTCTAACATTTCACAGAAAAAACATTCTTCATTCATTTATGCATGTATCTATTCATTCCACCTCAACATCAACCATTAATTTACACGACTGAGTAACCCATACATTGTGGTCTACAAGTGAAGGCTGCACAGAAACCGACTGAGCTCACTTAGTCTCACAACAGCGTTGTAACACACAATACATCTTGCTTGATCGGGTCAATTCGATATACAGACCTAGGAATGTGTAGGCACTTCACTCTATATTAACTTTCCACTAGGTGCTTGCTATCTTACACTACTCAGCTAACGCAGCTGAAGCTCTGAATATTCATCTGCAGCTGCACTGATGTATCAAACCTAGATCTCTCTCTCTTCTTTGGTCTATGAGTAAAACTACCCCAATTACGGATAATTTGACTTGCATTACTCTAGGGCATGATGCATGAGTGAGCATCACCAGTCTGAGATTTGTTGATGGCTCCGAATGATTTATCCGCTT